GGATTTGGCCCCAAAAAGAACTTTACAATACTCAGAAGCAAAAATTATTGCAATAATTATCTGTGCACAATAGACTTGTTCTTCTCCTTACATTTCTACTTTCACCCTATGAAATCAGGTAGCAATCTATTACTGAAAACTGATGTCCTGTATTTCCTATCCCTACAGGCTGTTGTTCCCACTTGTATGCCAATATAAATCCTAAACACACAATTCCAGATAGACAAGTCTATACACATAGTATTTCAACTGTATTGTAGTTTTCTTTACATTTTCAAATAGTAAAAACCACTGACTGGACAATATCCAGTCTTTATTTAGTTAAGTAAAGAAATGCAGGTGTGACAACATGATATACATATGAAGAAATAACTAGACTTAAATATTACCCTTAAAACTTATTACCCAGTTTGCCTTCGATAAGTTATTTAACCTCCCTAACAACTCCGTTTCTGCCCTCCAGGGCTGTCACAAGGATTAAATGAGAAACCATTAAACAACACCTGACGCATATGATATGCTAGGTAAATCTTAAATTTACTCCTTTCCCTCTTAGTTACCATCAAATGGGCAGCGGTGTAAAATGAAACTACTAAATATACCGAAAGTGAAGTATTACAACGTGAAAATCATTTAAATCAGAAGGCACATTCCATTCACTCATGTCTAAAATACTGAGCACTGTACCTGGCAAGCCCCTGTTGCAGACACTCAGGATACAGCTGTGAACAAGATGTCATTAAAGACCTTTTTTTTCAAGTTACACTAAGACATTCAGTAAGTAAAGTATTAGAACTCTTTTTCCTGAATTTCATTTGGAACCTTCCCTAATATGCATACACACAAGCACATTTGTCTCACATACTTTGGGCACGTAATCAGAGGGACCAATCCCTGAAGAACAACATTATGCTTGGTCGGTAAGATCAGTTAAAAAAAAAAAGATGTCAGTCCTCAGTGAGACAGTTTAACTCAACAGCTGAACAATGGTCCCAAGCACAGCACTCCTCTATAACAGACTGGGTCTTGGAGGAAGGCACCTTCTTCACTTCAGAGAAGACAAAGATGGGGCGCTTTCGTTCTCTTCACAAGCAGTTATCCTATCACCCATCCAGGATGCTTCCAGAGGCCGAGTATGTCTCTAACTTGATATACTGTGAGGATGGCACAGGTCAGGCAACGTTTCATTATGTTTTACACTGCATTGGAGCCAACTCAACAGTGCTCAACAATATTCCTAAAGATGGGAACTGCCTTTTCATTCTCTTCAAGTGGCAAAGCCCTAGTATTTTCACAAACTGACCAGTTCCTCAATATGTTATTCATTGATGGAACATACTTTTTGAGTACTTTCTGTGTGTCAGGCTGTGTTAAGAACTGACAATACAGCAGGCAATAGGGAAAATGCCATGGTGCTTGCCCTTATGGAGCTGAGAGCCCACTTTAACAAAAGAGCCTCAGGGAAAAAGTATACATATCTATATATATGCTACCTCCAGACAATACTACCTTAACAATCTAAAAATGCACATGTTCAGAATACCTGGATGTTAAAAGCTTCAATAGAGAGGTTTCCTCTATCGTTTAACATAAACTACATACAATAGTCTCTCAAATATCTAGCTTGCATGTAAATAAAATTAACACATATTACCTATGAGTTTTACCTCACATTTTGTACTTCTCAATAACTTTTTATCAAAAAAACCACAAATATTTGTTTGACTCAGTAGTGCACTTTGCACAAAATCTCTCTGCAGCAAGAGAAACAGACAACACTCCTATTACAGGGGGGGAAATCGAAATCCTAAGAATTCAACTCAGAAATGCAGATATAAAATTTCATTATTCAGTAACTGATTTTTTAAAACTGTATTTTTAGTTGCCCACTAAAGATAATCCTATAAATGTCACCTCTGCAAATTGGTTCAAAATTTAAAAGAAGATACTGCTTCCACTTATTAATCCAGATCTTCGATTACTTCAGATCTTCTATGTTGTATTCTAAGTGAGAAACTGTTCTGTGCTTGATAGAAAATAACTTGGTCTGCTCTAAAGTGTTTGCATTTTCCCCTGTTCATCTGCAAATGGTGCATGTTATTACTTTCCCCTCTGACTTCTCTCCTATGATTAAACCCCGATTTATATCACCGTGCTTGTATTATGCTGGCAAATACACATGAGTGTTAAAGAAGGAAGATTACAAAGTGATAGGCTCTTTCAGAAAGATGTAGAATTTTTTAAATTAAAATGTTATAATAGAGTATTTCAACTGTAAAGTTATTCAAAATATTTAATTTGATCTTCACAATTAAGATATGCTCTCTAAAAGAATCAATGATCATCCAAAAAGGAGCCAGGAATAGCCACAAAGAAGGAAAGGAAAGAGTTTAAACATTTTTCAAAGATGGTTATCTGGTTCTCTGAGTACAGTATTACTTTGTCTGTCGAGGCCCATAGGTGGAGTAAATGAATGCTAATTACTAATGGTCAGATTAACAAAGCTTTATCCCTAATGACAGTTTCATGCATACTTTGGGGAAAAAAAAAAGAAAAAAAAAAACCCAACCCAACCACAAACGCCCACATTATATGAGTTACACACTTCAAACTGACATTGAGATTGAACCTAACACAGAGTATCCTTCAAATAACCTCCAAAATATATGCTATGTTTATTCTCCTACAATACACATATATTACTTAGGGAAAAGGTAAAACTGTAAGAATAATTCTTAGTGCTCTGACTTTTTAGAGCAAATCAGCTGTCTCTAGACAGAAAGAAATAATCGAAACTGAGTCAAAGGAGGAAGGAGGAGGAAATGAGCAAAAAGGGGTTAAATGAACAGTAACACAACAATGTAAAGTGGGAAATTCTTCAGTTATGCATACAGCAAAAACTACAGAAGAAACAGAATGAGCTATTTCCATCAACCAAGACTTGACAGCAATAGCAAACATCTTGGTAGCTAGAGACATGAACCAAGAAAAATACTAAACTCCTATCACATAAATCAGCTTTTGAGCTTACCAGATTCAAATTATCCTACTTCAAAAATATACAACAAAGAATATGTACAGTCTATGTCATAAATACATAGTGAAAAAATATAATAAATCCAGTATAATTACAGCTTACTCTAAAAGATCAGTCACTGGATAGGATTAGTCAATCTCTAAAATCTCTGAGTAAGCAACTGGATCATTCTACCACCTACTGGAGCCACAAATCTTACAAATGAAAAACAGCTCAAAGCAGATCTTCATTGGCCTATTATCATGGGCTTGAAACATTTTAAAGAGGTCCTTAAAACATTGTTTCATCAGTATCCTTCTAGAAAGAGCCCTAATATCTTTCATTCTTCTAGCAATTTAAAAGCTACCAAATGTTCGTTTTTTACATTATTGATTATTTGCCTTTCAACATTCCCATAACAGCTGTTTGACAAATTACCTCGCCTTATTCCTCAGGGGGTAAGAGCAGTATAATATCCATGAATTCAAAAATGGGACCACAAACTGGCTGATGACAGATGAGCTAATTGCTTCAGAGGAGTTAGACACCATTCTACCAAACCGGATAGTCAAAGTATGACACAATTAAAGCTCAGTCTCTAAATATTCTATTTGTACAAAAGTGTGTGTAGTGGGCAGAACTTGAACTTACTTTTATTTTAAAATGTTTAAGATAGTTTCAGAAAGTCAGGAAGCTGCACATTTTTGCAATCATTTCTAAAGAAAGTCTAATCTTCAAACTACTTATGCCAAGTAGTTTGCACAACTTAAGAGATTCCGCATATTTCAACAGAAAGGATTGGTAAATCCTAAAAGAATCTATTAAATAAGAGTGGACTTTTGAAATATTTTCCATCTTTTTAGCAAAATAAGAGTAAAAATATTTTATCTGCCTAGATTCAGTCTCTGTATGTTCAAAGAGCAAAATTATAAACCCTACAGAAATTTTAAGATATAAAAATTGGTGTTCTCCACAAGAATAACAAAATGGTGTAGTTTAAAAGGTTTTACATGAACAGCGTTTCCCAGCCAAATCACTCTTGATAAATTAGTCTCTTTCTAGAAATAAGTAACAGACTCTTCTGGATTCAGGATCAATCTTGTAACACTTGTCAATTCCTTCAAGTGATCATCTAGTTGAAAGAGTTTTGTTTTGGTGGGTTGCTGTTGTTTTGTTTACACTCTGGGTAAAAGCTTCAAGATCTTTCCACTAGTAAACCAGCCCAAGTTCACTGGAATACCACTTTTGCAACTATGTGACAAGAGAGTTAATTCAACTTTATGAGCACCACAACAATGTAGCCATGGAAGCAGCTACACAATTTCGGAATGATGGTGCCTACTATCCCAAACATTGGACACGTTTCTGTCCTAACTCCAGGTCTCGCAGCACGTTTGATCTCTCTTGCCTGGAGAGGCGATCGCGTCGATTTTGCTTTTAAAGTTAGTGTCATAGCAGCTACAAACTTTTTTTTTTTTTCTCTCTCTCCAGCATCCCTGCCTCGCTGCCAACTGGAGCTCTCTCTGTTCACTTCCTCACCAACTTGAACCACCCCCAAACAGTTCTAAAAAGTAAGCTGAAGTTAGACACCGACGAGAGCTGACACACTTTCAAGAAGGGTTTGACACCGCAGAAAACTTTCACTTCTCGTCTCCCGTCCTGCCACCCCGGGGACTCCGGCCCGCGGGAATGCCCCTCCGAGGCAGGACAAGGACACGGAAAGCCCACTGTTCTCCGGCCCCCCGAAAGGTCCCCCCCAGCCCTTTCCTCCAGGACTCTAGCGGTGTCCTTTACACAAAAGAGCAGGGCCAACAGAACTGTCGCGGGGCCCCCAGCCCGGCGGCACCCTCCGGCGCGCCCGCAGACCCGGTCCCCCGCCGGCCGAGCGGTGCCCGCGGGCGGCTTCCTGCCCCCAACCCGGCCAGACAAAGCCCCGGCGGCCGGGCCGAGCCTCCCCGCCTCCGGACACGGGCCGCGCGCTTACCCGGGCCTCGTCCAGAGCGCCGCCGCCGCTTCCCCCGGCCTTGCTGGCGGGGCAGCTGGCGGCGCGGGTCTTCGAGGAGCGGGTCCGAGACGAGATGAAATGGCTACTGCCTCCGGCTGCCCCAGGCTCCGCTCCGGCCCCAGGCCCAGGCCCAGGCCCAGGTGACTTGGACCCGAGAAGGCGCAGAGAGCTCTTCCGGGTGTTCACCATGGTCCGGCCAGGCGAACGGGGTCCGCGCCGCGCCTGCCGTGCCCGGGAGAAGCGAGCAAGGCCGGTCCGCCGGCCGGGCAGTCAGGGCCAGTGGCGCTGAGACGGGCCGAGAGAGACGAGCCGGCCCGGACTGTGCGGAGCGCGGACGAGGACAGGCGAGCGTAGGACAGAGGAAAGGAAGTCGGCGTGAGAAGGCCGGTAGCGAGAGGCGGGAGTGATGCTCCGCGCCGACACACAGCCCGCCGCCAGCTTCGCCCTCCTCAGCGGGAGCTGAGCGGAGCCGCCATTTCTGCCCCTTTCTCTCTCGTTCTAGCGCTCTCGCTCCGTGCGTCAGGTCTCAAGCGCCGCAGGGCCGACGCGACCGCTACCGGCCTCGGCCGCTGCGGGGCGCTGTAAGGCCGGCCAGCCTTTCCCTTCTCGGTTTCTCCCTCCTCTCCCCTCCCCTCGCCTCCCACTAGGCCCCGCCCAGCGGCCCAGCGTCAACTCTCGGCTACGGGCGAAGAGACGCTCTGGGATCTGGCGTCTCTATGGTTCCCTGATCTTTCCCGCAGTGGCGGATGCGTAAGGAGAATGGAAGAAACCCTGGTGGCTTGGGCACAGTAATGGACATAGGAGGCTTTCACATCTTCCCAAGCCTGAGGGCTCCAGACACCCCTTCAAGATATGGATGGAACAAGAAGCGACCTGCAACGTCGAGAGAGGAAGGGATTGGGCGGGGGCAGGGAGCCTAGGAAGATAAGGGCGCAGCGAAGTGAATAGGAACCCAGACCTACCCCCCCCAAGAAGGAATCTGAACTTGTCTCACGTTTCATCGCTATAAAAATGAGAATAATTGTGATAAAATGCATATGCAGTGTCTGTCACAGAGTAGCTAAAAAAAAAAAAAAAACTCAGTCCAAAACATAAGACTATAGTTCTCCTCCACCTTTAAACAAAGCAAGTCCAAGACGTTTCCTCTAACCTTAAGCCAGAACCTAAATGGAGAGACAAGGGAATTAAATTTTTCCTCAAAGAAGAAAATCTAAGACACACAGAAGAATCGAGGCCTTTTAAGTTGTGATGTTAGGAAAGAGTACAGATATCCATCCCATGGACTGCTAAAGATCGAACAAGTTTGTCTTGGAGCGAGTTCAGAGAGGCAAGGATGGTGACACTTTGGGTAACTTGTTAAGAGGGGCCAGCCCTTGAAAAAGGGCATCATTCTAGGAAAAGTTGAGGGCCAGAGAAAGAGAAGAAGCTCCTCAACCAAATGAATTGACATAGTGAATAACAATGGACTGGAACATAACAGATTTAGAGGATGGTACAAAATAGGACAAGATTAGATCTTTGCTCATAAGATCTCTCGGAGGCTTGGGTGACTTCATGACACTTCATAACAGTCCCTGCATAGTGAATCCAAAAATAGAAAATTCATTACTTAACTTTCAAAGAAAAAAAAATCCAAGACACATGTAAAAAAAAGTATGCTGTAAAGGAGGAATTGTGTTCTTTTCAAAAATTGTGGCACCTAGGTTCTTCCTGTTTTGCTACACCAAGAAAATCTGAAGACTCCAGAAAAGTTCTCTAAAAATCAACACGCCTGCATCAAAATTAGGGCATCCCTGCTCCCTGTACTCCTAACACTTAACTGCATAACACCTTGAGAAAGGGAGAAGTATTCCAAGTAGCCACAAATCCTTTTTTAATGCCAATTTGCATGCCACATGCCTTCATGTGACACTTCACCCATTTAAACCCTGTCCTTTAAAATGTGTGGAGACCTCTGACTGAATGTTACTGTTGTGTATGGGTCAAAATTGACTTTTTAGCAGGCTTTCAGAAGCAGTAAATCACTCTAGAGGAGATTGTCCACCTTTTTCAGAGTGGCTAATGGATTCGAACTGCAGGCTTTGGAATTAGAGCACAGCTTCTTACTTTTAGGCCATCTTATAGATGAGAGTAACCAAATTGCAACTTTTCTCTCCTATTTAGTACTATAAAAACAAAAAAGAAATGGAAAGACGAAAGGATATAAATTTTTAGGCTAATTTACGTACTACACTACTATCCAGGATACACAACAAAACAAAGTTCAAATCCACCAGATGTTGTGTGTCTGATAACCTCCGGAAGGTTAGTTATGAATTGATTCTAACTCTGTGGTACTGAACAAAAACATCATCTATACTAGGGAGTTCTGGTAGTCTAGTGGTAAGGAGCTGTGCTGCAAACCCGAAGGCAGGCAGTTCAAACTCACTGGAGCCAGATGGGCAATCTCTTCCCCTGTGATTGACAATCTCAGTGGTGCATAACAACAACAGCATCACCTATACTGGGAAAGGTCAGAGAAAGACAAGACACTCAACAGAATGGGTTGGTACAGTAACAGTGGGCTCCAGCATGTCAAAGATCTTGAAGATAAGGCAAGGAAGGGTCAGATCTGTTGTTCATAGGGTCACCCTAAGTTAAAATCAATTTGACAGCACTTAACAACAATATCTATACCATTCACCATCAACAACTGTTTAAACTTAATGTTAGAGGGAGCTCTGGTGGCCTAGTGGCAAGAAGCAGCACTGCAATCCCAGAGGGGTGTGGTTCAAATCCAACAGAAGCTCTGCTAGAGAAGGAGGGGCAATCTCCCCCTGTACCAGTCAGATCCAATTTGATGGTACTCACACACACAAAATAATAAAAAAGTCACCAAAGAAGACATTCAGAAGGCCAATAAGCACCTGAAGAAATGTTCAAAATCCCTAGGTCTAAGAGAGATATAAATCAAAACAACTATGAGATATTATCTCACTTCAGTCAGAATAGCAAAATTTAACAGAACAGCAAGCAACAAATGCTGGCAAGGTTGTGGAACAACTGGAACCCTTATTCACTGTTGGTTGGAGTGTAAAATGGTGCAGCCACTGTGGAAAGCAGTATGGTGCTTTCTCAAAAAGTTGCAAATAGAGATACCACTTGACCCAGCCATTCCACTACTGAGAATATATCCCAAAGAGACCATAACTGACATCCAAGCAGATATATGCACACCCATGTTTATAGCAACTTTGTTCACAATAGCAAGGAACTGGAAACAACCCAGGTGCCCATCAACAAACGAAAGGACAGAGAAGCTGTGGTATATTCGCACAATGGAATACTATGCTGCATTGAAAAACAAGGAACTCATGCAATATTATTCAAAGTGGGTAAGCCCGGAGGACATCATGCTGAATGAAATATCTCAGTCACAAAAGGACAAATACTGCATGGTGCCACTGTTGTAGAATTGGACATCAGGGTTGGGGTAAGACTGAGAAAACTGGATAAATTATGCATACTGCATTGAAACAGATGAGGGAGAGAATAATTTAAAAGCTATATATGATAGGGTATTATAGTTATCACAAAAGTCCAGAATTAAGGGTGCATAGTGGAGTGTACCTGGGGCAGTGGGAGGGGTGCAGGGGGATTGTATACCAAAGAAAGAATTTTTCTTTTACTTTTTCAAAGAGAGGAGCAAACGGGGGGAGGGGCGGTGCTGGGCAGGGAGAAAAGTGCAACAATGAATGAATGGAAATCCAAAATCCCTGTAAATGTTCATTACAATTATTAAAATAAATTTTTTTAAAAAAAGAAAAAATAATAAAAAAGAAAAATGTTAAACTTAATGTTAGGTACACTACAGGCTCAGTTTTGTTTTAATTAAACACAACATAATGGAGACTGTAAAGTTATAAAATAGTTCTAGTCTTCTCTGAGGTCACCGACTAGGAGGGAGTGAGGGACAAGCAAGAAACCACTGAGGTGCCAAATACGTGGTAAGAATGAGGCACACCTGTCTAATGCAAGCAAATGTTTTAGGAAACACTCTAGTGGTAAAGACCCTTGAGACTGCTTCAATGGCAAACAAAATAGAAAGGAAACTAAACACAGACCAAAAACAAAAGCAAAAAATAAAAGAAAGCTTGGAAAGTATTTGAAATATAGCCTGCTTCCCAAAGTATGAACTAGTGAAAAGAAAAAGTCTTAATAGCATATTTTAAAACAGAAAACCATGACAATTGCCTTTCCTATCTCTTTGAAAAATTAATTTGATAACTGTATTAGAATTGCATTAAAAATATAGTTTGGTCCGGGTAGATTTGTCATCTTTACTATATTAAGTCTTTCTATCCATGTACAGGAACATTGTTTCCATTTAGTTAAGTCTTTTATTTCTTGCAGAAGTGTTTTATGGGGTTTTTTAATAGTATCTCAATTTGTGGTTGGTTATTGTAAATAGTCTTGCTTTCTTATTTTTCTTTTCTGTGTTTTCTTTCTTACTGTAGAGAAGTCCCATTGACTTTTGTATATTGATCTTGTATCCTTCACAGCTCTCAGAAGCAATGGTTTAAAAAATTACTATATAACTTGGGAGGAACTGCAGAGCATTATACTGAGTGAACTAACTCAGTCTCATACGGACAAATGCTGCATAAGACCATTATTGTAGAAATAGATAACTAGTAAAACGTGTATGAGGATCTAAGTTGGGAGGAGGGTGAGAACAGAGGGGTGAGGATTGGCAGGGGGTGGGGGTAGATCATAGGGTCACACAATTTGGGGGGTGGAGGGGTGGGTGAGTAAAGGAAATGGAAAAGATCCTGGGGGAATCTGGAAAGACAAGGTAATGGTGGGCACAGTTCAATGATGATATAATGAATAGAATGATTGTATGAAACACAATGTGAATGAAGGCTAGTGTGAAACACAAGCTATGTGAACTTTGTAAGCAAATTCATACAAAATAATTTTTTTAAAAATGCCTTATATGAATGAACCAGTAAGATACTGAGTGACAGAAGTATTTCAGATAAACTCCCAAAAGTTCTAAAAAATAACTGAATTTTAATGCATCTTCTCAACTCCAATGTATTTGACCATCTATTTTTTCTGCTTAAGAAGACTCAAAGGACAGGAGACCAAGTACAGAACTGTATAATCCCAAAGACTGAGGTTCTTATTGTTATGTACCATTGAGTAGACCACAACTCATAGCAACCCTATACAAAATACCTCTGAACACTCTTCTATCTTGAGCCAATCTCGCTGTCTCTGACACACCTTCCCTCATTTACCCCAGTTACCAAGTCAACCCATCTCATACAGTGTCTTCCTCTCCTGTGCTATCCCTCCACCCTTCGAAGCATGATGTTCTTCTCCAAGGACTAGTCCCTCTTGGCAACATGCCCAAAGTATGTGAGCTGGAACTTGGAAATCTTTGCCTCCAAGGAGCAGCCTGATTTCACCATCTCCAGGATAAACCTGTTTGTTCTCTTGGCAGTCCTTGGTATGTTCAGTACTCTTCTCTAGCACCACAACTCAAAAGGTAT